TCCATTCAATGATCCTCCTCAAGGTGAAATACTTGTAAGCGGTCCAAACATATCACCCGGATATTGGAAGCAACCTGAAAAAACAGCTGAGGATTTCGTGATCATTGATGATGTGCGGTATTTCGCTACCGGTGATATTGGTGAATTTCGTGAGGACGGGTCACTTCGCATAATTGGTACGTATTTTTTTGATTTCGTCTATGATATTGTCTGTTGAGTTTTGTTTGAGACCTGAGAAAAATCTTAAATAAAAAACGGCTTATGTCAATTATACCTTGTTTCAGATCGGAAGAAAGACTTAGTAAAACTTCAACATGGCGAATATGTATCGTTGGCCAAAATCGAGACTGCATTGTTGAATTGTCCATTGATAGACAATATCTGCTGTTATGGCGATTCACTGTCGTCATACTTGATTGCACTTGTTGTACCTAACAAGAAACATCTGACTGAAATGGCTGAAAAGGTTCGTATTAAATGAATGGAAATTTATATTGAAATTGTTATTGATTAATTCAAATCAGCCTCGGATATTATTCTCATATATCGTGGATAGAATCATCACATGAGAAATGAATGCGATGAAACGATTGTAAAATAAGTTGAATGATAACTCCAACCTCTTTACATGTTTCAGTTGGATATCGTCACATCCAGTTGGACTGATTTGTGTCATAATATGGAAATTGTTAAAGAATATCAGAAACGTATGGAGGAGCATGCTGTGAAAAGTTGGTTTTTATTATAATGGTTTATGACTGATGCGATTTAAAAAATATTGATATTTTTATAATATAGATATTTCCCAATGTTGAGTTGTGAGAAACGATTTTTATTCGTTCTTTCACTAATTAAATTGGGACAAATTAATGATGTGATAGGAATAGTATAGTAACAACTAACGTTACTATTCTCAGTTTATCTCGGACAAGCATTTCTCACAGATACTCTTTTTTTACGTTAATTTGATATGTTAATTTGGTAAGTTTTTTACGATGTAGCATTTGGTTCGAAATTCCTGCTCATTTTTTTATGCTAATTTGATAAGATTTTTACGATGCTTTCGTTTGTATTATTATCGGAATTTGAATGAAAAGGTAATGGATGAGTATGCAATATCAGTTATCAGATATTAAGTCAACCGAAGACCATTTCATGCTAAAATATAACTCAGTATTTTGAGAAAATATAGCTTGATTTTAGACCATTTGTTGAAAAATGAATTGCCGGGTAAGATCTATTTATGTGATGAAATATGGACGTCTGAGAATGGTCTTTTGACTGAAGCAATGAAACTGAAACGTCGTCAACTAAAAGAGAAGTACGAACAAGTTATTACACAGCTTTATCGCGATGAGTCTTATAAATGCTAATATGAATGACATGTTGTTAAAAATTCGTATCCTGCAAAATAGTTATATGGTGATGATTTCTTTTCATGTTCTCCTCAATTTTATAAAAGAATTCACCGTTTTACGTAAAGCTCCAGTTAATGCATAATCAAAATCAGACGTAAAAGAAAATTTGCTGCTTTATTTTGACTTTTTAAGGAACGATTTAGAATCAAATTCGCATTAACTTGCGAAGAATTAATATCCATGCAGAATGCAATTAGTTCTTGAATATGAAACACTTATATATGGCCCTGGTTCAAACTTGAAAGCAAATCTGGTAATTTGTGGTCTGTAATCTTCGAAATGCATGTCGTTATATGAAATAAGAAAAAGGCTATTGCTTGTCCCAGATTGAAGAAAAATTAAGATTTGAAAATAAAGAAATGTTGTGTTCAAAAATGGCAATACCGACGTATCTTTTGGCCAACAAGTGAGAGAAGTTTAAATGATTAAATGATCCAAAATAGAGCAACAGACAAAAATATATACTGTTGATGTATATTAACCTTTAGAAGGGTAAAGAATCACGTAAACAAATTAAGAAGAAAATATTGTCTGAGGTTCAAAAATGTATTTAAGACAACCAGCTTTTTCAAAGCCTTTATAATATATAAAAAAATCTGAACACAAAAATTAATTATACATTAAAGTACCCAGTGATTGCTTCATATCCAACAGTTCTGTTCCTTGTGAATTAAAAAAAATTTTTCCCACAGTCAATCAAACAAAACATGTCGCGAAAGTCGCGAAATTTCAAGAATATTATAAATGGTCAAGTATATTTATATATACACACATATTCATAGATGTAGTATTACTCTGTCTTAATGCATGTTCATAGCGTCAATGATAATGTTCCTGTTTAAACCAAATAGCACAGTCAAATGATTCACTTTGTACTTGCATATGCGTTCCCATCCTTCCCTCCAATTATTGTACTACATGATCCCCCTTGCTCTTATATCCTCCAATATCTCTCCTCATTTTCCCGCG